TTTTTCCCCAGCTTTTTTCCCTTCTAACGTTTCTGGGATTTTTTTGGTTTGTTGGTTTTGGGTTGTTTAGGGTTTTTTTTTTTTTTTTTTGGCAAGGTTGTTTTCTGCTTGACAGGTGAATGAATGAGATTAATCACACTGTGTTCCCTTATTGTAATGGGATGAATCAAATCCCTCCAAAGGCAAAGCTGGAGCAAGAGATGGATTTATTAGCTCACTTACGTTCCCCACCCACAGCTCACAGTCTGTGCTGTTATGTTTATTCTTGGCTGTTGCTAGGAGAGCACTTTTTTTTTTTTTTTAAGGTAGATGCAGAGACTTTTGTTACAGTCATTTTTGGGACTCTTGAGGAAGCCATTACATTCTGTGTCTATGGCAGAAATAACAAGAGCTCCCTGCCCTCCCCGACCCCCTCGATTTCAGCACAGTGTGTAGTGGTGAAGCTGACAGTGGATTTGTGCAGGGTTCTTGATAATCAAAAGGCTCAATAAATAATTTTTTTTACTCCACCAGTTTCTGGATTATTTTAGTTTTGTTACAATTTTGATCATGCATCATAGGACTGCAACAATGAGCTTTAAATAAGTATTCTTTGTGCACAGTAAAATAGAAATAAAGGAACATTTAACAAGTTAGCATTTCATCATATACATCAGATAGTAGGCACAATAGATAAATCAAGCAGCTTGGGTTTTATGTAGCGCATTTTCATGAAGAATGTCATGTAGACCAAAATGTAAGAGGAGCTATTAGTAACCTGCCCACACACCCTCCAACAAGCCCTTTATTGGGGCTAAGGCGGTGGGTATGTGCACAAACCAAAAACACTGAACAGTAGGAGGACAAATTAAGTTACTGTAGGCAGCAGTGTGAATATTAAAAACCTCTTCCTGTGAAAGAATACTTCAGACCCTGTAAAAACTGGTTCAGTTAAAAATAGATGTATTTACATTTAAGTCTGATCTAGCAAGTTTTCCCAGCAGGTGTAAGTTAAGATGTACAGTAACTGTGCAGGTTATACTCAGTCTGACTTGATTTGTGAATGTTTTGTTTTTTAAAGTTGCAGCTATTAGGCCTTAAAGCACCAGCATATTACAGCG